ACACCCTTTTTTGTTTTTTAATATTAGATTTTGACATAAGGTGAGATAATACCTTAAAATCAGGGATCCAAACCGAAATAAATATCGGTTCGGTTCAGGTTCAGGTTCGGATAAAAATAATGGTTCAAGGTTTAGATTCGGTTCGTAAAAAATAAATATATTGGTTCGGTTCGAACCTCTAAAAACCGGTTTGAACATTTTTGTATTCAAATATAGGGAGGTATATTTTTTTTATTTCATCATTAAAATAAAAAACATAATTTTTATTAATTGCAGATTATAAAATAATATTTAAATTATAAATCATACAAATAAATATCAATGATTAATTTTAATATGAACAATATTTAATTTTATTTACTTAAATTTTTTTTTAGTAGACTTCACAATTAAAATATTTTCAAGATTCGTCTCACTCAGATTACATCTATAAAGAGATATAATAAATTAAAACATCTTTCCACACTAGCTTGGGTAGCTGGCACTGCGAGTATGATATCAAACAATTTACATAATTCTGGGCATCGATTACTCTGATTTCTCTAATAGTTTAAAATAGTCATAGTTTTATTTAACCTAGGTTCTTTAGAAAAATAACTATAAAATTTATTTCTTTGATTATATTTTAATAAATACTTAAATTCTGCAACATTAGATTAAATATTTTGATTATTAATTTTAATTTTACCCACGGCTTCTAATAAGGATCAAGAATTTTTTTAAAACCGCTATCATCGATTAATTTGAATGGTATGCCATTAAAAGTGACCAACTCAGTACAATCATCTATTATTATTTTTTTTATTTAGTTTTACTGATATTGTTTGTTCTTTTAAATGCTTCTTCTATCGTCTGTTGGCCTGATGGCATCTTAAACTTTTTTTATTTTATTGAGCTTTTGTTGTGATATTTTGTTAATTTTATCAAATTTTAGATGGTGGTTTTTTTTATGACGCTCAAGATTTATGATGGCCTTTCATATTTATTTAACAATCAGTGATATTACATTTTGATGTGTCATTTATAATACTATATATAAATAATTTATATATTGGATTTAATTTTCTCTAGGCATTATAATTTATAAGCTTAAAATATTTAAAAAATGCTGTAAAATGGCAATATATTAAAGTTTATAAAAATTATGACTGACACTTATCAATCAATTGTGATTGTTATCTTTAAAACAATTCGCATATAATTAAAATTTTTGCTATATATTAGTAATAACTTTCGAACTAAGAGGCATTTTAGCGGTTCGGTTCAGGTTCGGCTAGAAATTATTTTAGACGTTTAGGTTCGATAAAAATACCGGTTTTTAGTGGTTTAACGGTTCGGTTCAGGTTCGGTTCGGTTTGGATCCCTGCTTAAAATACTGTTAAATATGTACTTATTTCTATTTTTTTAGTCTATAAAACACATTCTATTCAGATAGCTGTTTAAAATTCTAAAAAGAAAAAGAATTAGGATGTAGTTCACAAGCAAAAATACATTATAACTGCCTTAGCTGTTTGGAACCTAAAGTTATACTGATTGCAAGGATAGAAATAAACAATGATCAGGCCTAAGAGACGACCAAATCCGATATATATTTTGTTACTTGGAAGATCATTTCTAGTGTTGTTAATCGACTATCGAGTAGACAGTCAAAAACTGAGCCAAGTTTTGGGTCGAAAAAATACCCAAACTGACTTGAGTTACGAAATTAGGGGGGTTGGTAAATTTTAAAAAATAATAATATTAAAGAACAAGAAAACAAGAGAAATTAGGGTGGGGTGGGGGGAGGAGGGTTGGAAAATTTAAAATAATACTTAGCAAAAATTTCGCGAACGAGGAATAGTTATGAACTTCTCGTCAACTTTCGACTAGAGGACGAATAGTTTTATGAATTTGAGTCGTCAACTTGAGTCGATTAGAGGACCAATATTTCAAATTATTTATTAAAAGACCTTTTGATTACGCCGAAAACGCCGTCGTTTAAAAAAATCACGCCGGCGCAGAAATTAATTTCATATATTATACTTTTTTATTCTAATAATTGGTCAACATCACTGTTGTAATTTTTTAATGTGAATCAGGATTTTGATGAATATTTATTTTCTAATATTTTAAAATTATAATTACATTGACGTCATTATAGAATTCAATCAATCAATTTTTAAAATGGATGCATCTACACTTAATAATTCTATAAATAATTTTAGTATTCTAACTCTGGATAATAAAAAATCCATAGTCTGGAAATTTCTTGGTTACTTACACTTAAAAAGAGATAATAAAACAATTTCCATAAATTCTGACAAATTTTACTGCAATTGTTGCTTAGAAAAGGCTATTGGAGACGATGATGATTCAAATAAGCCATTTTCACAGTATATTTTTTTTAAATATTATTTTCTCATCAAAATCTTTAATAAATTAAAATATATTTTTTGTAACAAAACTTTCATTAAACATTAGCACAGGAAATTTGTTAATACACTTGACTTCTGGACATAATATTAAAGCAGATAATTCATTAAAATCGCAAGATTTAAAAAAAATATTTTATATCCAAACCAAAATTCCAGACAAATTCTAAAACCTTTAAAAAATGGCTTCTAGCAAGAAATTATGTGTTATTATGTTGTGTTGACTTATTAACTTTTCAATCAATTGATAATATAGGAATAAAAGATTTTTTGAAGGTATCAAATTTATAGATATATTATCTATTATAATAATAGATCTACCTTTATGTCTTTTTCTATTGAAATAGCATAGCCTACTGAGGGAGATTTACAATAGTTGAATTTTATAGCCATGCTAACAATATGATACACATAGACATACATGATTTAAATAATATTGAATAATTGATTCATTTTTTTTAATCATCTCTGTTTTTGTGTAGCTTGGCAACCCAGAATAAATTTTTAACAAATTTATTTCTTCTTGATAAATTCTCCCTAATTTGTTGTCTAATATAAATTAAAGATATAATGATTTTCTGCTATAAATTTCAAAATACCTATTTTAGAAATATCAAGTTATCGATTTGCCAGACAGGACAACACTAAGCCGTACTGCTCTTAATGATGTTTACCTATCAATGAAAGCACATGTACAAGAACAAATTAACTCATGGCTTAAATTTTGCTCAATTACATTTGATATGTGGACAGATCAATACAGAAGAAGAAACTATATTACATTTACACTTCATTTAATAAATAATAATTTTGAATTGATTTTTTGTTTAGCAACTCATTATATAACCCAAAATCACATAGCGGAGATTATTCTAACTGAGATTGATAAAATAGAAGAGGAATTTAATTTTTAAAAAAAATACAAATGGTCACAGATGCTGGGCCTAATGTTAGAAAAGGCGTTCGATTAGGTGAATATGAACACCACTTATGTTTGGGTCATGGTTTACACAATCTGGTTACAGTAGATAGTATAATAAAGGTACCCTTTGTTGAAAATCTCATCAAAAGAATTAAAGATATTATTACTGCTCTAAGATATAAAACTGCAGAGGATGAATTTAATTCGAGGAAGATCAAAGAAAATGCTAAGTACAATAGATTTAACATCAGACATGTTAGATCTTGATAGCACTGATCCATACCCAGATACTCGTTTTCAAATTGGCAATTCCACACATATGAAAACCTTAAAATTAAATGTCCCAACACGTTGGCATAGTATATTAATTATGCTAAAAAACATATCTGGATTAAATAAGAATTTAATTAATAAGGTTTTGAAAAGAAATGGGAAGCACTTTCTCAAACTATGAATCTGATCAGGTAGAACTATTATCATTTCTTTCAAAATTTAAACTGTCGAATTTTTTGTACAAAAAGGGCTCACTTTAAACTTGGAGTTACTTTTTAGAAGTAAAATTGAAACACATTTAATAGTAAATGATAGTTATAGTTCTTAAATCATTTCACTTAAGGAAAATATGCTAAATAAACTTGCGTTACGATTTCCGGTTTGTAATCTGCAAGTAATAATATATAAGTATATCCTTTTATTTTTTATTTAAAATTATCTAGGTATTAGCTTCTCTTTTAGATCCAAGATTTCAAAAATTGACAATTGTGTCAACGTATTTAATAGAGCAAAATTGCTCAGCTTCAGAATTTATAATAAAACATTTTAAACTTATAGAGAATGATGATAATCATGTAGTAAATATAGCTAATGAGGATCAAGAGGAATTATTAAATTCAAATTATTTGACAAAATTGGCACATAAACATTCAACAAATATAAATTGTGATTCCAAGTTAGGTGACTTAGAACAAGAATGCCACAGTTTTCGTGGAAAGCGACATTCACAAGATGTGGACGTTCTAAATTTTTGGAAAGAAAAGAAGAGTGAACTTCTCAATCTTTCCAGGCTCGTCAAAATATTCTTTGCAAAGTGAAAGAGTTTTTTCTACCGCTGGGTTGACGTTAAATTCAAGGAGATCATCATTATGTCCCGAAAATTTAAATAAAATAATTTTTATACATGATAATTATAAAATTACGAAATCGATTTTGGAATTATGAGTATTCTATTATATAAATATTAAAAAATATGCCGAGATATCTGTAGAGTAGTATATATTTGTGATTTTTTTTAAAAAAATTAAAAATATATGTTATAAAAATTTATAACTGCGCCGATTTTGTTGACGGCGGCTAAAAATTGGCGCTCCGCCGGCCATCGATTAGATTTTTGAAAATTGCGCCGGCCGCTGATAGTTTCATCGGCGCACAGGTAATGTTATTATTAATTAAGATATTTGTTGTTTTTTACATTTTTATGAATCATTTCCATAATTATTTGGTTAAAAACTAGTTTTAACGCCATAAAAAAGGTTAAATATAAACTTTATTATGTAAAGAAAAATTGCAAAACAATACAAAATATTATATTAACAATATACAAAAGTATAAGTAGTATCAATATATTCGATTCTATATACCAAGAATTATATTACAATTTAATAATAGCGGAAATGTAGAACCACAGAATTACAATGGGTTATGAACAAATATTGTCTTCATTCATTTTGAATAAAAATATCTCTTCAATATTGTTATTAAATATTTTTGTATAAAGTCTTTGCAAAAATAAGTAAATAAATTTATTATATTGAATGAAAAGTTCCCACAAAATATTTGGTACCAAGTAATTTTTCTGTTTATAAAAGAATAATGATTCATTTTCGAGCCTTCAAAATAGCGCGTGAGAACAAGGAAACGTAAAGATCGATTGAAGCTGGAGAATCGTCGTTTCCGGGTACAGGATAAGTGACATTTGTTGGGTCCGAATCAGTGTCTAATATGGCGATAGTAGGAATGTTAACTTTTGCCGAATCACGAATGGCTCTGTGTTGCAAAAATAACGTGTTTTGGGAACCAAAAAATATACAGGCATCAGGTAGGCGGGTATTACGGAAGTGATGGGAATTCTTTAGATAATTAAATATTCATAAGATATGGATAAAAAATAAAGCATCGTGATGAAAAAGATGTTAGAGAATCATGTTATCTAACTGTTATCTGCTAATATCCAAATCTACAAAAAAATGAGATTTTTAGACGACCATCTCTAAAATGAACAAAACTTATCAAGATAGATATTTATGTTGTATATTTTAGTAAAATCAGAATTTTAGAGCGTTAGTTAAATCATATCCAAAATATACGTCTTACGGCAAACCTTGTATAGTAAGACAAATATTGTATCTGTATAAGATATATTTTAAAATAGTATCTATATCTAGATACATTTCTAAACAATGCATCTATATCTAGGTCTATTTAAAAAGTTACTTAACAACTCTGGTATTTTTGAATCGATTAACAGGAAATTTAATTATCAATCAATGATTGAAAAGTATTGAACAAAAATCAAATAAAATATATTATTGCTCTGAATGATCAGCTTAGCGCAATATAAAAAGAGATTTTTTTATATAAATAAGTGTTATCATTTATAATATTTTGGCGTAGCAGCTGAATGACATTTTTCAGCTGCCACGGAAACGTTAGCAGCACGTCCAAACCTCCAGTAACTTAATTTAAAAATATATTCATATGCAGAGGACAACTTTAAAATTAACAATTCTCAAATGCCAATAATTTGCTTCTTTTCAATATCGAAGGATTCGTAACATGTGTTTATGATAATTTTGGAGGGTTAGCCAAATAACTAAGAATGAAATTTGAGGATATATATTTCTTTATTTACATCCCCATCATTCTTTTATCCCACAATTGAGGAAAAGATATGGCTCCATATTAATCAAATAATAATCATAGATCCCATAAGAGCGACAGGATGTACCTACCAATTATCGCCTCAGGAAATTCTATTAATAAGCGCAAATGGAAACAAATAATGACAAGAGACATTTTTGAAATAATAGTATATATGTCGTAATGGGATACGGAATCATGTGGGGTTCGGAATCCCAACGTGGGGTTTCGAGATCTTGAATCCCCACGTTTTATTTCGGAATCTTTTTTTTTTAATATTTTTAAAAAATATTCCGAATCCCCATGTATATTTTTTTTCTTTTTTTTGCCGTCTGGCTACCAGAAAATTTCCTTTTTTAGAGATATTTTATTTTCTGTTTTTGTAAATTTATATAAAATAAAATCATAAATATTTTCACCTGAATATATATTTTTAAAAATCCGATTCGAATTATAAATTTTTTTTTATTGCAACTCATTTTGCAATTGCATAACGATGTTTTCCCAAAGTTTGTGACATTCCGGAAGCTCCTAAATATTTTTAACAGTTTAAATGAAAAATTAATAAATTTTATGTACATGAATTAATTTGAGTAGTATATGTGGTTACTATAAAAATAACTTAAATTATCTATGATTGATAAATCTATATTGGGAACTTAAAAATAATTTATTTTTATAGTTAGAGGCAATAAATGGTGTTGAAATTCTTCCAGCACACGTTCCTACCCATATTTTATTTTGTTCAATTTTTATTACTTTCCCTTCTAAATTTTTAGGACAGATATTAGTTCTAACTGTCCTCTGAATATGTAATAACATGTGATCACCTAATACAAAGTTATTTGGTCCAATTATTTGAGAATAAATTAAGTTTCGACCCACGATTATTTAAATATAAATAAAAGAATGGGCTCTTATTAAAATATTAAAAATACTTCTCAATATTATAAGTAGCACAACTATTTTTCCATGTAATTTTATAGCCAACATTTTTTGAACAAGGACTATTAGTAATATTATGGACAATTTAAAAGCGCGAATCTTTGTTTGAAACCTTTGCTATTTTATTAGTAGCGATGTATCGTGTTCACATAATTGTCCTCATTGGTAAACAATAAAGAGTGACGGCTTATCTATGAATATATAAATATATATTTTTATTTAATATCCCCTCTTTCCCTAATCGTTAAAAGTATAATCTGCATTTCCTTATTATTAAGGAAAATCGCTATCGATATTTAATAATATTAAAATTATTTAGCTAGAAAATCTTACTTTTAAAATGGATTTAATATTTTTCCAGCCTGACCCAGTATTAATTTGTTAATTTTTATTATTTTATGATATACTTTGGATTTTTGTGAATAGTTTAAAAGGAATTTATTGGTAATTAAAAAGTTTAAATATTTAAAATTTTATCATTTCACAGCCCTACACAGGACTAGTATAATGTATTAGAATACAATATATTTAATATCTAATAATTTTATGATGAATATCATTTATATATCTTACCTATTTCCTTATGTTCTTTAACTTAAGGCAAAGAATATCAAAAGGCTCAATAATTGTTAAATCTAGTGCCATTTGTTTTAAAATATAGTGAATAATTTTTACCGTTGCAATTCGGCTCTTCTGATTCACAAGTAAATACACCACTGCTACCATATCTAAGATTTGGACAAATATTTAATGGAAATGTTTTTATCTTATATCTTACCCATGTCGGTATATTCTTTGATTGAACGAGTTGTACCAACATGTTCAATATATTCTAAATCTAAACAATATTATTTAAGAAATACGACAAAACAAATGAGAAAATACATATAGATGATACCCGAATCTACTATCAATTTCATTCTTTTTTATCATAATATTTCTTATCCAATGGTAATTTGATCGCTACTATTACTATTTGAATCTTCTTCTCCTTTAGATTTTTATATCTAACATTTCATGTAGAATAAATTTAATGAAACTATTTTTATAGTTTATCTAATTCTGTAAGCTCGGTAAGGAGAGAATTGCCAGGAATATGATCAATAATGGCTAAATCTAATTTATTTTGTTCATAAACAAATATTTGAGTAATTTTTACCATTGCTATCGATCGAGTCCTCCTTATCAAACGCATAGGCATATTTCTCTTTTATAGAATCTAAAATTTAGACAAATAATTAGTGGAAGCACAATGTTTATATCACCAATTTTAATTATCGAATAAGTACTATCGGAATCGGAAGATGCGTTGTCTGGAAACTAAGGTGTATCAATCACCCACATATCTGATATTTTTAAAAATTATTCAATTTATGCATTAAAATTTTCTTTAATACCATCATTAGATGTTGAGGATTCGTTAGAATCGAAAAAAAAAATTAAGAATGAATGACATTATTTTTTTACTATTGGCCCCCTTGTGTTGGATAGTCCTATATGAATATGAAGGAGACAAAAAATAAGTAATCAAAATATAAAAAAGCAATACAATTATCAGAACATGATATTAAATAAAGGTCTGCATTGGGCGGGATTTCGGCCCGCCCGATAGGCGGATGAAAAATTTTTCGAAAATGAGCAGGCGGGCGGGTTAAAAAAATTTGAAACTATGGGTGGGCTGGGCGGGCGGGTTAAGAAATTTGAACAATGGGCGGGCGGGTTAAGGAAATTTAAAATTTTTGTTCAAAAACAAACTAAAAAAAATATAATTGTTTAAATGAACTATAATAACAATATTTCTTTTTTTATTGTACCAATCGTTTTTTTAAGGAACATTTACCTAACTATATTATGTAATAAACACAATAATAAATCTTTTTTCTTAGAATTAAACATTTTTGTCTATTAAAAATATCCTTTTACGGGAATGTAATAAAACTTTTCTCTTAAAATTTCCTTTTTTTGGGTTTGCAATCTGCATTGTAGTTTTTTATTTTAGTAATAATTGTTTATCTTTATAATTGCCCTTTTCATTATATTTTATTATATAATGTATAAATTTTATTTTTTATAACATAATTTTTAATAAAAAAATATATTTTAATTTAATTTTTATTTTATTATGAATAAAGAAAATATATCTAAAAAAATAAAAAATAATTTATATAAATTAAAAGAAAATTCAGATAATTATAAACTAAAATCTTATATGTGGAAACAATTTAAAATCATTCTCGATGAATATGACAAAAAATTTTCTGGATTCAAACACGTTCATCTTTGTTCTAAAAATCTTCCAGCAATGCTAAATCCGCGTTCGGAAGAAGCACTAGTTGCAGGAATTGCCAATATTTTTCTTGCTTATCTTGATAGCTTTGGCAAATCTATTTCTTGTCGTTTCCATCAAAGTAGGATATTCGTTTGAAGTATATCCTCTTCCTCAATTGAGATCTTTAAATAAAAGTGAAACCAATAATAAATTTAATAAAGTAATTTAAAATTTAAATTAATTGTAATATGCAACTTAAAATTTTGCTAAATTATACATATCAAAACTGGTTACTTTAAGATTTAAATATTTTGTTGTCATTAGGTACAATATAACAACCTCATCCTCCCATACGTTGGGGTTTAATTTTGAAGCGGATGCTATTTATTTCAAACATTGCATTTAATAGAGTTAAGCAATTTTATAATTTATTAATACCCTTTAATTTGATTCTCTTTGCATTTGGGGAAAGGGGTAAAATCAGATATTTATATTTTTTTCATAAATATTCAATTTGATCAAATAAATTGTCCATAATTTACATTAATTATTTTTATACTCATATAAATTTCCTAAATTATAAACTTTCTGTAGAGGAGTAATGAAATATTTTTATCAGATGCTTAAAAAATGAAAGAATGACCATAATTAAATTTTATAAGCGGGCTTGGGTTAAAAAAATTTTTAGACTAGGCGGGTGGGTATATATATTTTTGAAAACTATGGCCGGGCTGGGCGGGAGGTTTAAATTTTTTTTAAAACATTAGATGGGCGGGCTTTTGGTCCAAAAACCCGCCCAATGCAAACCTAAAATATTAAATCCATTTCATTTGAACTAAATATTTTTCTAGGTTATCATTATGAGCATAAAATACCTGGTAAGGTGTGCTCTTACTGTTTCTACTAATTAATTTATTCTCAAATAATTGGACAAAATAACTTTATTAGGTGATCACGTGTTATTACCTATCCAATAGGACAGATAGAACTAATATCTGTAAATTTAGAAGGGAAAGTATTAAAAATTGAACAAAATAAAATATGGGTAGGAATGTTTGCTGGAAGAATTTCAACACCATTTATTGCCTCTAATCTTTTAAGTTCCCAACAAAGATATTAGGTAATTTAAGTTATTTTTATAGTAACCACATATACTCCTCAAATTAATTCATGTACATAAAATATATTAATTTTTTATTTAAACTGCTAAAAATATTTAGGAGCTTCGGAATGTCACAAACTTTTGGGAAAACATCGTTATGCAATTGAAAAATGAATTGCAATAAATAATTATTTATAATTCGGATTTTTAAAAATATATATTCAAGTGAAAATATTTATGATTTTATTTTATATAAATTTACAAAAACAAAAATATCTCTAAAAAAGGAAATTTTCTGGTGCCAGACGACAAAAAAAGGAAGAAAAAAATAAAATATACATGAGAATCGGAATATTTTTTAAAAAAAGTTTCCGAATAAAACGTGGGGATTCAAGATCTCGAAACCCCATGTTGGGATTCCGAATCTCATAGTATCCCAATACGACATATATATAACATTTTAAAATATAGCCATCTAATATTAATCATATTCGAATAGGCTGCCTGCTTACTAGTGTTGTTAAAACGCCGGGAGTCGCGACCCCGACCCAAAGTTCGGGTCGTTTTTTTCGACCTCGACCCGAGTTCAAGCCGAAAAAAACGATCTCGACCCAAAATATGGGTCGTTTTTTTCGACTCAGACTTTAAGTTTATTTTTTAAGGCAAATATGTAAAAATATATTTTGCAAACATGTTAAATTAAAATTTCAGCGAAGATGTACCATAGAAAAGTGACAATTGTCATAATCGTCATTTTTGAACTTTTTTGAATTTTTTTTAGACAAATGGGTAAAAATATATTTTGTAAATATGTTGAATTTAAATTTCAGTAAAGATGTACCATAGGAAAGTGACAATTGTCATAATCATCATTTTTGAACTTTTTTGAATTTTTTTTAGACAAATGGGTAAAAATATATTTTGTAGACATGTTAAATTTAAATTTCAGTGAAGATGTACCATAGGAAAGTGACAATTGTCATAATCGTCATTTTTAAACTTTTTGGAATTTTTTTTAGACAAATGGGTAAAAAATATATTTTGTAAACATGTTAAATTAAAATTTCATTGAAGATGTACCTTGAAAGTGACAATTGTCATAATCGTCATTTTTGAACTTTTTTCAATTTTTTTTAGACAAATGGGTAAAAATATATTTTGTAAACATGTTAAATTTAAATTTCAGTGGAGATGTACCATAGGAAAGTGACAATTGTCATAATCGTCATTTTTGAATTTTTTATAGACAAATGGGTAAAAATATATTTTGTAAACATGTTAAATTAAGATTTCATTGAAGATGTACCTTGAAAGTGACAATTGTCATAATCGTCATTTTTGAACTTTTTTCAATTTTTTTAAGGCAAATGGGTAAAAATAATAAGATTTTTACTATTTGATTAAATAGAGTTTAAAAATAATTATGACTTTTATCACTTTTCTATGGCTTTTATTGAAATTTTAATTAACTAGTTTATAATTTATATTTCAACCATTTTCTTCAAAATATTCCAAATAAATTATCAACATGACTATTTTAATTTTTTCAAGGTTTTTCATCACTGAAAAATTGATTTAACATGTTTACAAAATATTTTTTTACCCATTTGTCTAAAAAAATTTGAAAAAAGTTCAAAAATGACGATTATGACAATTGTCACTTTCCTATGGTACATCTTCACTAAAATTTAAATTTAACATGTTTACAAAATATATTTTTATCCATTTGTCTATAAAAAATTCAAAAAAGTTCATAAATGACGATTATGACAATTGTCACTTTCAAGGTACATCTTCATAGAAATTTTAATTTAACATGTTTACAAAATATATTTTTACCCATTTGTCTAAAAAAAATTCCAAAAAGTTCAAAAATGACGATTATGGCACTTGTCACTTTCCTATGGTACATCTTTACTGAAATTTAACATGTTTACAAAATATATTTTTACCCATTTGCCTTAAAAAATTGAAAAAGTTCAAAAATGACGATTATGACAATTGTCACTTTCCTATGGTACATCTTCACTGAAATTTAAACTTAACATGTTTACAAAATATATTTTTACCCATTTGTCTAAAAAAAATTCAAAAAAGTTTAAAAATGACGATTATGACAATTGGCACTTTCCTAAGGTACATCTTCAATGAAATTTTAATTTAACATGTTTACAAAATATATGACATTGGCCTTAAAAAAATAAACTTCAAGTCTAAGTCGAAAATTACAATCAAGCTTCAAGTCTGAGTTGAAAAAAAACAACCAAATTTCAAGTCTGAGTCGAAAAAAACGACCCATATTTTTGGTCGAGGTCGTTTTTTTCGGCTTGAACTCGAGTCGAGGTCGAAAAAAACGACCCATATTTTGGGTCGAGGTCGTTTTTTCGGCTTGAACTCAGGTCGAGGTCAAAAAAACAACCCAAAATTTGAGTTAGCTCTGTTCGAGCCGACTTGGCTAAGCCGATTAACAACACTACTGCTTACATATCGCCTCAAGACATCATATTAGTTAGATTCAATGTATTTTCTTATTTTAATACAAATACAATACATAATTTTTTATATATATCATATATTATTTTTTTAAATAGTATTATTATGTTTTTCATGATTTTTTAAATATAACGCCATCTATATTTTTTACAAAAATTTTAATAAAATTTAAAAAAAAAATTTTTTTGATTAAACAATTAAATATAAAGGAAATAAACATTCCTGGAGAATATTAGCATTCAAAAAATTCCCTATTAAATAATGTTAATTTGTTTCATTTTCACCGGAGATAAGAAAACATTTTAAAATATTTTTTAAAAAATTCATATTATCCAATGTAGAATTTTAAGGGCTAATATTATATTTGCAACTCTATCTTAAGTATTTTTTTAAAAAAAATAATATTTAATTAGATTTGATTATACTATAGCATTCTAAAATTTTGATTTTATTAAATTTACAACCTAAATAACTTACATGCCAAGTTTCATTCTTTTTTGAGATGCTTAAAATACTGGTTGATTTGTAATGGATTAACCCTTATGGTTCAAGTAAAATTTATAAAGGTTATGCTTCGTTCGGAATTTTGGATGGGTTTTGATATATTTAAAATAAAACGGGTTTAACTAAATTCAAATATAGTTAAGATGTTTAGTTTTCTCCATTTTATATTTTCTTATAATGTTAATGCTTCTATTGTTTAGAAAATATAATCGTTTATTCCGATTTCATAGTTCAGTTCAGCAGAGCTAGGAGAATAAAATTAAGTTATTATGTTTAGTTTTCTCCATTTTATATTTTCTTATAATGTTAATGGTTCTATTGTTTAGAAAACATAATAGTTCATTCCCATTTCATAGTTCAGCAGCAGAGCTAGGAGAATAAAATAAAGTTAAAATATAGAAGGAAAATAAATAAGATTTATAGAGGGAGAACCTTTGATTGGCTTTGAGTGTCAAGAGTGGAGAATAGCATATCAGCATTAGTGAATATACCACCTGACCAGAAACGACAATGGGAATATGCTCCACATGATTTTGCTGCCTTTTCAATTGTATGAATGTGTTGGTAATTTCTGCACAAAAATAGCACAATCCCTTTTTATAGTATTTATGAATTATAAATAAAAATGTTTGATATAAAAAATAAAATATTCAAAAATAATTTTAATAATTTATAAACCACAAAATAAGTCACTATTATAAAGATTTTTTTAAAAAATACAAGTTTTCATTCTATAATTTTATAATTTTCTCAAAAATAGTAATATAGAATATTTTAAGGTTTCTTAATTAAGAATATTGATTTCATGTTATAGAACATTTGTTTATAATTTTTCAGTTTAAATCATTACTAGATTATTATATGCCTTATATAAAATTAATCCGAGTTTGGAAAGGATATTTTAAACAGAAAAATTTTTTTTTAAAGGTCAAAATCTTTTTTTTTTAATTTATGATTGCAATCATAAGAGATTTTTTGTGCATAAAAATTACCAAAATTTTGTACAAAAATGAACTGGAATTATAAGTAAGATTTGATCAAACATGAAAGTATTTTCAAAATAATCTTTTAAAAATTTCACAGATCTTTTTATGAAATTAATATTAAACAAATATTATTTCAAGATGTATTTATATATAAATATGATGGTCAATTAGATAAAACATATCTCATTTCTTATATAAAATATTAAGAAATCAATAAACACATTGTATTACTATTTAATTTCAGCTATTCACCGTAAAAATATCTATTATCATAATAATAAAAAAATAATATATAACTACATTCCAATCATAAACTATAATGCAATAAAAATAAAAACGTTCATTCTATAAAAACAGAGTTAACCAGTTCCTAAAAAACACAAATAATTATATTCTAAAATAGTGAATTTGAATTTTTTGTATAAAAATAAATTCCTTGGGTTTTGATGTAGGGTTCTATTTTGTCACCTATATTTTTTAAAATTTAAGGTTCAGCTTGACATATGTTCAAAAAGATTGGTAAAACACTTAATTTGTTAATTCAAAATATTTTTTTCCTCAGCTATCAACCAAATTAGAATTTACATATTTTGGAAATGAAGAAAAGCATTTAAAGCCACAAATTAATTACCTGACCAATATATAGAGGTTAAATGATATGGCTTTAGGCCACACCTGATGATAATTTAGCAGGGTCCAGAATGTTTGGTATTTGGGCCCTTGTAAGAGAACAGCATAAATAATTAATTACTGCATGTCTGCCTTGGCTATATATACAATTAAGAACATGACCCCCTTTGGGATCAACTTATATTTTATGTATGTATGGTTAAATGAATCCAATAGAGTGTATGCAACTCAATTGTTTAAGAGGTTACAAATTGATAATCCAATCATTCATAACCACTAGTACATTAAGAATTTTTTTAATATTTGAATATATGCCAAAGGGGAATTTGATGAGAGTATTTTTAAAATTTATTTAATTAAAGGTAAAAATATTGATTGATATGTTAAAATTGTGGGCAAAACAAGCTAAAGATATTTAAGCAGTCAAGGCCAAATTAAAAGGTTATCTTTAGGAGTGATAAAAGAAGATATCATGGGGTAATTCATCAAACATGATGCCAAAAATAAAGAAAGAGATATAAGATTTAAAACCTCCCATTTTCAAGAATAATTGTGAAAAACCCCAATTAAAATTTTTCAATTTAATATTTAAATTATTTTCTAATATATTTCTAAAATATTTTGAAAACGATTAATAATTTCATTTAAAAGACCTTTAAAAAATTTTCACATGAATAACTTAGGTTGAAAAAACTGTTTAAATGTTAACTAATAATAAATTCACTTTCTATAATAATTTTAAACCCCAAAACTTTAGGGGCATTTGAATTTAAAAAATTTAAGATTAGATGAATCCATTATAAATATAAATCTATATCCCATCGCCAAATTTAAAAATAAGACATGCAAATAATTAATTTAAAAAAATTATTTAATTAATCCATCAATTTAGATGGTGCACCCTTAAATTTAATTAATCCAATAAAAATGTTAATAATATTACCTTTGTTATATGATATCTCAGATATAACGTTAAGAGCTTGTTTAAGTAAAATTGATGTATGATTAAGGTCTATAATGAGATGGCCTAATCGTTCTCCATATATATATGGTTTCATTTTTTCATTTAAGGAACCCACTTTATGCCCTAAATGTACACGGGCATTAAACAAAGCTTCAATTGAAACGTCAACAGATTCTTTAAATTCCAAATATTTTTAAAATAATAAAAATATATACCTTTTTGTTTAGAGACATCAGACAAAATTGAATAACATTTTTTTAAATAATTTAATGAGAGCTTCTGCATTTTAGGGTGTAACTAAACTGAGAATTGACAGGTAAACTGCGAATGGTCAGGTAAACTGAGAATAGACAGGAAAAATTTATTTATATCCTATCAATTATATTTTAAAAATATAAATTAAATATTTGTATTATGTAAATCAAATTTATCCAAAATTAAAATTATCTAAATAAATAAAATAGAATATGGAAGAAAGAGTAGTCCATAAATTTATAATATGTATAGAACAGATATGTTAATATGGTGTAAAAAAAATTATAAAGATATCGATACTAAATTACTTTATATTTAATTTATTTATTATAAATTATACTAACTGACTATTAACCTAATAAATTCTATATATATACTTTTCAAATTTAATAACAATCAATGTAACTATTAGATTAATATTATGTTAAGTGAAAGAAATAATATTACAAGTCCGTAGGTTTATATAATTTAAAATAAATTTCAAATGTATTAACATTCCTAGCTCTTTCTTCAATCTTTCTAGTCGTCGTGGAACTCGCTTCCAATCCTTTGCTGTTTTTGTAAGTTCTCCTATCTCTTCTATCCTCAATCCCATACTGTTCAAATCGTTATCATTAATTCGTCGTTTAGTATAGAATAATTTATTGAATGTCAAATAAGAATAATGGAATTGGAATTTAGAATGTATTAATAGAATATTGAATTGAATAGGAATTATTGAATAAGATTGATAAAATTGGAATAATAGAATAATATTCAAATAGAATAATTGATATGTGATTCGCGTTTTGGTTTAGCGTTTATGTTTACATTTTTTTACATTTTGCGTTTTAGTTTAGTGTTTAAAATTATTTTTATATTTTGCGTTTATATAACTTTCATGTATGTATATCGATTTTTATTTATATATATATATATTAATATTCTCAATCCATAAGGATATGCAAATGAATATTATGCACATTTCCATCTCTTTAAAAAAATTTTGAATTTAACACACTTGTTTTTTTATTTAAAAAGTGTTTTAAAATAATAATTCTTCATAAGATTGCTTTTAGTAAAAAATAATTTCTTAAGCCTAAATTAGAAAATGATCTCCTCATCACATCTTTAAATATTTTTCTAAAATGAAGACGTTTAGTTTTTACATAACTTCTCTTTATGATACTTTTATTTGTCTTCAAAGTAAATTTCAAATGTATTAACAAGATATATTACATAGAAAATATAAAATCCATAATATATTTTACATATCATAAATATATTTCCGGAAGATGGCGTAATAGATTTTAAAAAAAATTATATTTTAATAAAAAATAAAATGAATTATAGAAGCATAATTCTTTACTTTGGATTAATTTATTTGGTACAAACTAATATAATCATAAAATGAAAAAAATTTTAAGTTTCCTTCATTATTTTTTAAGTTATGATGTCAATTCTCAGTTTAGTCAATTTTTTTAGATTTTTGGGATTTTAAAAATATTTTATTTTTTGACTCATTTTGTGTAAACTAATTTATATAAATATAAAATCAAAAAAATTTTAAGTTTCCGTCATTATATTTGGAGTTATAATGTAAATTCTCAGTTTAATCAATTTTTTTAAAACTAGTTTACTTCTATTAAAATTTAGGGGCCCTTAAAAGTTGTATAAATTTATTTTAATAAGGCATTTAAGATAGCTATATTTATCACATTTATCATCTTATAATGGGCAAAGATGTCTTGATATTAATAGTGTGAAAGTTTTGACAGCACGGCTCGAATTTTTAAATAAAGAAATTAATTTTTATAAATATGCAAAATAAAAGATAGATCTTATATGGCATCTATTGCTATAAATAAATTCAATTATTTACGTAAAAAATTCAATATAAAATTGATAAATTTTAAAATATCCCAACATAGCATTAAATTAGAAAAATAAAAATTTTTACCTTATAAATTGAGAATATTATATATGAATAAATAATAGGACTGAGAATTGACAACATAACTCTAAAAATAATGAAGGAAACTTAGAATTTTTTTCATTTTATGTTTATATAAGTTAGTTGACACAAAATGAGTCAAAAGAATAAAATATTTTTAAAATCCCAAAAATCTAAAAAAAATTGACTAAACTGAGAATTGACAACATAACACCAAAAATAATTAAAAAATTTTCCATTTTATGTTTATATATAAATTAGTTTACACAAAATGAGTCGAAAAAATAAAATATTTTTATAATCCTAAAAATCTAAAAAAAATTGACTAAACTGAGAATTGACATCATAACTCCAAATATAATGACGGAACCTTAAAATTTTTTTCATTTTATGTTTATATAAGTTATTTTACACAAAATGAGTCTAAAGAATAAAATATTTTTTATAATCCCAAAAATCTAAAAAAAATTGACTAAATTGAGAATTGACATCATAACTCCAGATATAATGACGAAACCTTAAAATTTTTTTCATTTTATGTTTATATAAGTTAGTTTACAAATGAGTCAAAAAAAATTTTTTTTCTAAATCCCAAAAATCTAAAAAAAATTTTAAAAAAGTAATAAAAAGATTTATTCTAAATGTATTACATTAAAAACATAATAAAAAAAACTATCTTAAAAAAAATACATTTTATTAAACAGTTTTATTTCGAGTCCTTTTTTTTCTTCTTATTTTTAAATTTTTTTTATATATCCATCTTATTCCCCCTCTTCTAAGGAAAACAATAACACAAAAAATTTTAATTCCCTTTCCCACCTTGCCCCACCCCATATAAATATAAATGTTCCCTTCTACACATATCCCAATTAGAAAAAATGTCCAAACTGTGTGCTACATACCTTAATCAACAAAAATGGAACCCTAAGGAAGCACAATAAAAGTGGTAAAATATGTCATTTATCACATCCGTCACTTTCACAGATCCTATCCCCCCTCTATTTTCTCTATGCAATTAACATCAACATCCCCATCGCATATCCCAGCTCTTACCACAATTAATAATTTATCTGTTAATGAGGACTCACCCTGTACTTCCAATGAGTTACCATCCGATGAATTTACAAATTTACCTAAATCTCATATTATCTCAAGAATCCCCCGGGGAGCCAGGCTTCCTGCTAAATCATATAGTAAAACTATTAATAACCTTCTAACCAATTTTAACTCCCCACAGCACTGGAAAATGTTTTTCTTATTTGGCTTCCATGCCTTTTAGGTTCCAACTGACAAAAGCAAACTGTCCCTCACTCAACAAATTAAGAACATGTTAAATGATCTAGACAACATTTCAATGGACATAACCTTAACACTTAAGTTATCCGTAAATACTTTTTAGATAAAAGTAAATTTAGTGGGGAAAAAATCGATAATTTAGATATTAAAGGGGCACTTCGTCTGACCTCTTCATCAGACACACTAGCCCCATTAATTTTCAAACTTATACCCGATTGGCTATGAAGCACCCCCCCCCCATAACAGGCATCTACAGCTGAATTATCTGGTGTAAATCCCATATCTTATCCACTAGAATTTTCCCCAGAGGAAGTGAGAAAAGCAATCTCAACCTTCCAAAAAGATTTTGCACATGGTTTTGAAGGCATGAGACCAATATATCTTCAAGACCTAATTATCCCTCTTCCAAATTCTCAAACTACCCTACTCAACAGTATAACACTCCTTTGTGATCTTACATTGTGACGTTCCTATCTTTGCCCAGCCAATTATGTTTAGAGTAAAACTAATCGCTCTTACAAAACCCAACAAAGACCTACGCCCAATTGCCATAGGCACCCTCTTTAAGAGATTAATATCAAAATTAATTTCGGCTCGAATCAATGAGAAAGACTCCACAATTCTCATTTCAACTCAACTAAGGGTTGGTGTCGAAGGCGGCTGTGAGTCTGCCGCTCATATAACCCGCATCTATCTTCAAAATAATCCTCTAAATAAACACCTGATTAAAATTGACTTCAACTATGCATACAACACAATAAAATGATCTGTCTTCCTAAAATCCTTCATTAATAGCTTCCCATGCTACAAGCTGCTATGCGAATCCCTCCATCTTATAATATGGTGAATACAGGCTTTCTTCTTCAGAAAAAATTCAACAGGGACATCCCCTAGGGTGGATATTATTCTGTCTAGGAATAGATAATCTAGTTAAAAAAAAAAGCAGCTGCCTGTTAGATCTTCATATCTGGTACATAGATGACGGGATTATAAGTGGAAACCTAGAAGAGATAGACAAAGCCCTAGAAATTTTGCAAAAGGATGGGTCAGACATAGGCCTTCTCTTAAACGTTGACAAAACAGAATTCTGTCAGCTCACCTCTCAATCTCCCAACTGCCACGCCTTTAAAGAGGTTATGGCTGAAGAACTAACACATTTTGGCTCACCAGTTGGAGGCTATTTAGTAGTTGAAGCCTTTTTCCAGGCTACTTCGAATAATTTAAACAATATGGAGGGACTAATTATGCAACTTCCCACCCATAAATCTTTCTTCTTAATTAAAAATTTCTTCGATATACCAAAGATCCTATATGCTCTATGGTCAACTGCTATTTTTAAACATCCGAAACCCTTAAGAGCATATGAATCCATAATTAAAAACATCATTAAAAAATAACTAATCTCAAATTTAACTCCAATTCGTGGCATCAAGCCACTCTCCCCTGCAATAAAGGAGGCTTAGGGTTACGATCACCCATAGCCTTATCAATTAGTGGTTTCATCTCGTCCAGATTGGCAAGCTCCAAAATAATAACTGATCACCTGTCCTTGCCAGATGCACTGCTTGACGAAGCCTATGTCATATGGAAAGCCTCAGTCGGAGATGAATGCCATCCACCAGCCTCCCATAAACAAAAGGATTGGGATAATCCGATGATTGCAAGGTCCGTTGATTACCTCTTTTCGACTCTGCAATCTGAAGATCATGCCCTATTAGCTTCCCTCAACCAAGGTTCAGGACATGAGATGCCATCCCCTCTAAAAATCTTGATCTCGAACTTTCAAATCAAGAATTCAGTTTTGCTGTAGCCATTCAAATATAACAGCCTCAGTTTCATACAAGTGCGTCAAGTGCAAAATCCAGTAAGTCAA